GCCATTTCACAGGCACTTTATGGAACTTGCAAAATTTGCTGATATTGTATTTCTTACCATTTTCACCAATAGTTCCTTTTTCAAAGAAAAATCTGATCTTATCATTACTTGTAAGGAAGTAATCATCTGTCGTCTGAAAAACAAATTTTTGTAATTTAACTTATTATAACACAGTGCATGTAAGTGTTATGGAGGTTATAATCCTTTTCACCACCAGTTCCTTTTTTATCACAAATTCACAAAATAGTCCCATTTATAGGCTGCAGTTTCCTTCAGAATATTTGGACGAAGAAAGCCAAATAAAAACTGATAATTGACTCGAATTTTGTCTGTTGGCTTCAAAATTAGGGTCCATTTCTAGAAAATTGAAGTTAAAAAGTGCAGGAAAATTTGGGCAGGAAAGTCTGGTGGTAATAAGGTTAACAGAAAGGTATGCATGAAGGCAATACAGCGAGAGTATTGATCGTTAACTGTTCGAGTGTATAATCACAGCATCCTTGCAATAACTACAATGTATTATTAACTTTTTATTATACATCTTTGTGTGAACCAATCGCTTAGAATTGAAAGACTAAAGTTGTACAAAATGGTTACAATTATTAGAACATTCTTGAACTTTATTATTTTCATAAACATTTATTAAATGCCAATAAGAATTAATTTCTCAGTACACCTGTAACTACAACGCCATAAATTACATCATGTCGTAATTTTATGGGTTATTTTCATCCTACCATATTCAAAATATGGAATGATTACGCACATAAGCATCCTCTAATAATAAAAACAAACATGGCTGCCATCAGGGTTTGACTTGACTCCACACAAAGAAGTTCGCTGATTCTGTTCTAGACTTTTTGAATTTCGGCATTCCCATGATGTATCCTTGGAAGGAAAAGATGTACAATAATAAGGTTATTACGAAGATACCTCAAAGTATGCACTCAGACTGTACGCCGTCGCATCGACCTTCGCTGCATGTCAGTCGATACTCCTGCTGTACTATCTTTGTGCATACTTTTCGGTATCTCCGTAACCTCATAATGTAAAAGTTTTAATTTTCACTCTGTTGTAATTTAGCTTGTTTACAAGTGAAATCCACGAAATTAAATCTGTGTGAACATAAAGTGCATTGTTTCACTAGCAAATGCAGAAATTTAAAACTGACTGACAATATCAAAACAGTAAAATTGAATGCTAGTGAAAATGAATGCTTTCACAGTCTGTACATTCACCATTGGATAACAAACCAAGGAGAAAATGTAAAAAGTTTTTGGACAATTTATCACATGCCTTTTTAAATATTTTTGTTTTTGTGAAATTTGTGAAATTCTTTTTCATTCATAACCAGACAAAAACTGTTTTAACTGTTATGCTTAATGAGAAAAAACATTAATAATTTCTATTTTGGGCCTCGACATACCTGTTTTTCTCCGGTCACAAATTCCGCAGACAAGTGTTCTTTGGGGTTCATCTTTTCTATTAAGGAATGGCATTCTGCTCTCAATTCGTCAGCTTCGGTTTCAGTAAGTACATTCTCCACCACAATGTAGCCATTATCCTTAAACTGCATTGAAAACAAATGTATAACAAATCGTAAGTTTATGAACAAGCAGTCACGAATAATATGCTAATTTATGTTAATGATCCATGCACTGATGAATGCATATTTTCAGTCATGGTCGGTGACGGTTTTCGGCAGAAATATTCCCGATACCCTTCTATTGACATTTGTTCGAAATAAACTCTCAGTCGATATTATTACGAGTTGGTATCATTGCACCACGTGAGTAGTTGTTCCACTATTACTGTTTATGTATATATAGCTGGCGATGAATCCAAAATTAGTTTACCTTTTTTATAATATTTACTGCATCCTTACGACTTTTCTATTGGTCATTTGCATATTGCTAATGATAAGATAATTCAAAAACGAATTTTATATTATAGATCAAGAAAATGATGGTTTATTAAGGCAATTTGAGCTAATTCAAATTTCACACTACTGAGCAGGCAGTGAGTTGCATGACGTGATTGGTTGTGTTATGTCCTCATTTGAATATATGAATAATTCATTACTACAAAAAGTTTGTCAACTTTACGACAAATTAAAACAAAATATTATAGTTTAATTACCATCTACTAGTATATGTAACTAGTGCATGGTTTCAAGTGTTTTAATAAGAAATGTTGTTAAAAACGATTGTTAAATAGCATTTTTGAGCTAGTTTTTGATTGATGTTTCCCGCGTGTACAGAAATCAATATGTGGTTTTCATGTAATACAAGACACTGAATTCTCTGAAAATCACACAAAATGTACATAGACACTACTTATTTACCACAGTGTGATTGCGCCAAATTGTGCCTCCCGTTTTATGCTTTTTCTAAGCGTGCAAACTGTCCTAATTAGTAATCATATTTTCACAATATGAATTAGGTTGTTGCATGACCTACGAGTCACGTCACTTTAAAGATGGCGATGTAAACACAATTGTTGGATACACTCCTGCTATCTTCACAGAATTTCTGCTTATTTCCTGAATATTGGCGATATTATTTTTCTGTCAAGAATTTTGACATGTGAATATATTTATTAACTTAGTGTAGTTTTTAATGGTGTAGTTTGGCATCTAGACATATGACAGGGATGTATGATCTGTTGTAATACTGTCTGCAGTCCTCACAACAATGATTATACTATAGAGCGACGATGTCGTATCGTTAATAACAATGCCTAAAACGCTGACCCCAAATGGATACAATAGAAAAGTTTGCCATAGCTATCCATCAGGGGAAAAAAAAAGAAGAGAAAAGTGCAGAAGGTTCTTGATGTTTTAAATACCTAATACCTGTATAAAACACCAGTAAAGCTGCGCATACCGGATGTGTACGTATTCAAACAATGCACCAGACATGGACCGGATGTTACTCCCAACACAACGTAATTGGTAATATGAGACAAAATACACTCCGTTGAAAGAAGGGCGCCCTCACATGCGATTCCACCTCTACTACTGAGCATCGTTCCAGCACATTTATGAAATGCATTATGGGATAGAACCTCCCATTGTACAATGTATATACAATCATTGCTCTACTGTAAAATACTTTACTTTCACTTGGAATTCATTTTCCCTGAGGTAATGATTCTGTGAAAATAAAATCCAGAGAATATACCCTCTTTCCTATATTTTACATTCAACTCGCCAAAAATCAGTGAAAATAAAGTCCATGCAAAATACCCAAAAAGTTTTTTCAGCGAAAATTAATTCCAGCTAAAATAAAGTATTTCACAGTATTTAGGAGAACACATACACACTAAAAATCACATTTGTTGTGTAGTATAATATTAAAAAAATACCAGTAATACTTATTTTGACCATAGACACACATCTATAATTTACATAAATCATGCAATAATTGGCCAAATATGATAATAGAAAACTATTAATGGTTTTGAAAATACATGTATGTATTTGTATCTCAAAACATCGTCCTATGACACCATTGTCGGTATCCTGATGATGAAAGTATGACAAACGTCAATTCTACTCAAACTTCCTCAAAAATTAGCAAATACATTTGCTACCACGTTTCATCAAATAAATAAATTTCTGTAGATTCTTTTTTGAGAATATAATTTTCTTAGTTTTTGTTGGGTGTGTCTACCTTTTTACTTACTGTAGAATACTTTATTTTAGCTGGAATAAATTTTTTGTTGAAAAGGGTTTTTTGGGTGTTTTGTTTGGAATATATTTTCACTGATTTTTGAATGTGAAATATAGGGGAAAAAGTATATTCGCTGGATATTATTTTCACTGAAGCATCCTTTCAAGCGAAAATAAATTCCAAGCGAAAATAAAGTACATGTATTCTACAATATTCTGGATATCACGTCCTACAACTACGACGCAAATACGATTTCCGGGCATGTCTGTAATTACACACAGTGGAGTGCACAAGAAGCACATAAGAACATGTAGGTATGAACAGACTGATATCTGTCGGAAAGAGTTCCTTTTGTACTCCCCATCCCTAACCCTAACCCTACCCTCCAGCACTCCCCATTTAATTGTAATAATAATAATCTTTATTGATAAACGTATCCTTAATTGAGATATTGTTCGTGATACAATAAACTTAAATGTTGAAAGTTAAAAATAGAAAAAATAAAAAAACAAAACAAAAAAAAAAACACAAAACAAAGCAAAAACATGATGCCCCTCCTAAGGACATCTATAGTTATCTAGAGGGGGCATATACAAATGAATTGGGTAACTGGGAGTGAGTGTTAGGGTTAGGGATGGGGGTACAAAAGGAACTCTTGCCTATCTGTCTGTATTCTGTCTTTGAATCGTCCTTTTGTAAGATAAATTGGGATAAAGGTTACAGTAGGAAGGTCATGCGTTATTATTGTGAATCACGTTAACGCAGTTATAGTCAGTTAAATACTCATCAAGTTCTCCTACCCTGACAGATATTCACTCTTAATATGACTTCACACGTGATAACAATAACGACTCAGTAAATACAATGTTTGCACGCATAAACACAGACCCACCTCTTTCACTCTGTTTTCGTCCATTTCTATTACGCAGCCAAAGGTCACTCTCTGAGGTCACTGCTGGAGTTTGGCTGGCGGTCCCCGCCTCTACGCGCAAGCTCAATCACGCCCGGCCGGGTCACGTGATCTGACGCACAGTTCAGCGAATGCTGGAGTCTTCTGATCACTGCGCTATCTCTATTATTATCTTCTTATCCGAACTCCAAGTCAATTTAAATATTAGTTATCTTTTAACAAAAAAATTGTCAGAATGATCACTGCCATCATTTCTAAAAGTGTCTGGTCATCATTTCGAGAAGGACAACCCCAGCGGAAGGTCAAGCCAACACCGTGGTCACGTGACCATCACTCGTAAAAAAAACAACAACACAACATGGCTGGTCTGTGTAGGTTTGTTGCATTATCCCGCGTTTTATATCTCACGCTGAATATAGCAGTGTTTGTATCGATATTTAATTTATGCAGCGGATACAAACCCGTAATCGTTGTACATGGAATTTTGGACAACCCGACCATGTTCACGGGACTGAAGGATTTCATTGAAGAGGTAAAGTACAAGACAAGAACGTAGTATTAAAAAATAGGCGTTTACATACCTCGTTTTATTTATTTTCACACGTGATGAGGGCTGATGGCGTGATATCACAGGATATCGCATATGTATCTTCCCAGAACAGATTAGATTAGATTAGATTAGATTAGATTAGATTAGATTAGATTAGATTAGAATAGATTAGAATAGAATATATTAGAATAGAATAGTTGACTCAGAATAATTTGCATTGATGTGCTGTCTACAAAAACTAAACAAATTGAAACAAATAAAGATAGAATTGGTTGTTTTATTTTTAAATACACAAAATACAGTTGGTAACCAACGTCAACGACACAAAAATACAGCAAAGTAACATAAAATAACCAGCTCTAAAGAATTTCGGATTTGAAAAGAATAATCGTCAAAATGCTATAAATAACTTATAGCAAAATAGATCATATATGTTGGTACTCTCAGGCTGGTACGTACACATATGGAGCTACAGTGATTTGTAATATTTTTCGTCCCCACTACATTGCAATCATCGAGATTATGTAATCTATGAATACAGCAATTGTGGACACACCGAGCGTTGGAGTGAATCACACCCGTATTTCTGTTTTGCAAGGTTTATTCAAGTAATTTTATGTTAGCAACAACTTTGATATACTGTAAAATACTTTATTTTAGCTGGAATTAATTTTCGCTGAAATGACTTTTTTGGTGTTTTGCATAGAAGATATTTTCACTGATTTTTGGCAAGTTGAATGCAAAATATAGGGGAAAAGTTATATTCGCTGGATTTTATTTTCACTGAATCATTTCTTCAGCAAAAATAGCAAAGTATTTTACAGTATGTATAATTGTCACTAATTTTTCACAGTTTGAAAATATGTGTCACTTTTTTTGGTCATCATGTACGACTATGAGTCAGTTAAAATGTGCATATCAAGCTTTTTATTTCAGGTTTTTTTATTTTAAAAAAATAATAGAAAATTTCCAATTTTCAAAAAAAAGATAAAAATGAAATAACTATTTTATGACAAGTTTAAAATAAAAAACTTTAGGAAAACAAATTGACAATTGACAGATAAGTGACAAAATCTCACAAATTCACAAACATTTTGGAGTAGTGAAAATTTGTGGAATTCCAATCATGGTGGAAAACATGCATATCAAAAATGGCTGCCGTGTACAGAACAGCTTTATTTGCATAATCTAAAAATAACATAGTTACCAAGTAGCATAGAGGGCGCTGTTGTCAAATCAACTTGCATAGGAAAATACAGGCCAGGAAAAAAATGTTCACGTTTCTGGTCATGTTGCATGTCATTTAAATACTTGACACTTTGTTTTCTGGACAAGTACAATGTGAGTCCATTGTTATGTGTCAATCACGTAACTGACTAGAGCGCCCTCTATGTTCTTTTGTTAGTTTGCCCCTGAATAAAAGGTATACTGTAAAATACTTTATTTTATCTGAAATTAATTTTTGCTGAAAAGTCATTTCAGCTGTTTTGATGAGTTGAATGTAAATTACTTCAGCAAAAACAGTGAAAATAAATTCCATGTGAAAAAATAAATTACTTACAGTAGTTGGCACAATCAGTGTCGTTCATCATTGGTTTCTTGTGACCTATGACCTATTCCAAACTGATGAATCTTGAACTGTTTTGCGTTTTGCGTTGTGAGCTTGATTTTGTATTGTACTGAATTTCAAGAGACAGGATGTCTTCACCAGAGCGCCCTCTATGTTCTTTTGTTTTTATAAATGTACATTTATTTTCAATGGCAATATTACTGTAGAATACTTTATTTTCGCTTGGAATTAATTGTCAAGGAAGGAATGATTCAGTGAAAATAAAATCCAGCGAATATATCTTTTTTCCTTTATTTTACATTAAAATTATCAAAAATCAGTAAAAATAAATTCCATACAAAACCCCAAAAAGTCATTTCAGTGAAGATTAATTCTAACTAAAATAAAGTATTTTACAGAATGCTCAAACTCGTGGTGCTCATGGCATTTTATTTCAGGTAAATAAATTGTGAAAAAATTACGTTATTTATTACGACACATCTTAAAACTAATGTTACCCGGTACAATAATTGTGTGTATTTTCGATGGCATTATTATGCTTAAACTCATGGTGTTCAAGGCATTTTATTTCTAGAAAATAATATATAAAAAAATTACTTTATTTAATTTCAGGCACATCCAAAAACTAACGTTACAATAATTGATTTGTATGACGATATCGATAGTTTGCTGCCGCTATGGCAACAAGTGGTAAATTTTAGCAAAGTGATGCGACCAATCATGCAATCAGCGCAAGATGGCATTCATCTTATTGGTTTCTCTCAAGGTAATAATCTAATAATTAATCCTTGACTTTTAATTTTTGACAGAATGGACGAAATATATATCGCATAAACTAGTACAAAAATGGATTTACATGTACGTCTACCATTCATTTGCATACATTGCAATCTCTAATGCCATTTTTAGTCCCCGTTCGGATGCAGTTAGAAAACGAGGACTTGTGGATTGACCTCTGTGCAATCGTGCATCTGTGTGTCAGTGCCTGCGTGTGTGCGTCCGGACCAGTATCGTTTGACAATCAGATACAAATGTCCATTATTTTAATGTTAAACAATCAACATAATCATATTCCTGACATGTTTATATTCCAGCTATATTACTATAAACAAAACTATATATCTTAAATTCGATAACTAACAGGGACTGTGCCATGCATGGCTTGTTTTTATTGGTGCTACATGTCATTACAAGTGCATGTGTGATCTCGTCACCTGATCCCTGTGTATTTGGAAGGCAGGGCAGATTGTACTGGGATTTATACTGCTGATTCAGCTCAGAGACTCAGACCCAGAATAATATCCCTACCCACTGAACCGTCACTCAGTTCTATATTGCATGGTACAGAGAAGCATTGCTCTGATCAAGAAAAATCTCACATTCACGTTTTTTTTTATGTATTTGTATTCGACTAGATATAAGAACAAGCGATATGCCATGTATTGCCTTGCATTATAAAATGTACATTTTGTTGAATCAAATTCCCAAGATGGACCCAACACCACTGAACATTAAAGCCAGTGGTTTTAATTGCTATGCTTGAACCAGGATAACTGACTGTTGAATCAGATGAGTCCAGTACCACGGGTCCTAATTGTCAAGCTGGAACAAGGACCACTAACATTAA